AGAGTACACGCTGCAGAGACAGACAGAGGGGCCGGGTGAGCAGGGGGCCGCAGACATGCGCTCGGCCCTCCAGGTTTGCAAACACAAAATGAAAGCGAGCTCATGGAGACACAAAAGAACTATAGGAATCATGGTTCAGTGGCTGCCTTTTTGAGCACTCGTCTGAAAATGTAAAAGCAGAGAGGCTGTTACATTTCTCCCAAAGCCGCTACATTAGCAAAATGCAGGAAACACGGGGATGAATTTATAAAACTGTATGCTTTCTTTAGCGGAGCGTCTAATCAAGTCCTTTGTCCATTCTTCTTAGGTCATCTCTAGGCCCAACGTGGAGCTTGAACTCATGACCCTGAGATCAAGAGTCACACACTCCACTGATGGAGCCTCCAGGCCCCTTGTCCATTTAGTTTTCAACTGGCTTTTATTGCATTACTGATTGAGGAATTTTAAACCCCAGTATGTTGAAACCAAAATTCAAGACGTGTGAGAGTCATCTGACAGTGAGTAATTCACATGCACACACACGCTGTCGTAAAGCTGCACGGCTTTCTCTTTTACTTCATTACTTAACAGTAACCTGTAAGCTGGGAATGTTCCTTAATCTGATCGCCTAGGAAGAAACAGCACAGTGAGTAAAAGAGAGCACCGCCATACTTCGTTTCAACAACCATACGCCATTCACTATGTGCACACACGCTGTATCGGCTGCACTCGGGCATCTCTGAGCTCACTCAACTGCCACTGTTACTTTGGTGAGTAACAAAGTCCCACGTAAACCAATCTTCCCTTTCAAATGAGAGTACTTCCTCCAGGGAGGAACAAATACTGACTTGAGAGAGTGGGGGGAAGCGTGCGGAGGAAACCCCACATCAGGAGCCGTGGCCCCACCACATGCCTGGGCATGCCAGCAGAGAAGTGAAAATCATAAGCAAGAACTTAACAAGTAACTGATACAACCTTTGGATGCATTAGAATCAATACCACTTAAAAGACCCTGTTTTTGCTTCAGAAAGCGCTTTAGTCCATCACTACGTACCCCTCCGACGGTCCTTCAGGAAGGACCTGCTGTGATGCAGTGTGACGACTAAGGGGCTGCCCGGCAGCTGCCAGGGCTCAGGATGGCATGACCCCCCCACCTTGACCTGTGACCTCTCTACCCTTCACAGGTGTGGCCCCCACACCTTTCTGCTAATGCCAACCCCTGACAGCTTTCAGAGGTCATACACTGCCAATATGGAACATTTCATGAAGAATACGGTCTTTTTAGACCAACGAAACGGGTTTGCTGGCAGATGGGTTCTCAAGGCAGATCCCACAAATCTTACATCCAAGACATGTGTTTAGAAACTGCTCATTAAAGGAAGACAGGATATGTAACCACATCTGAACACAGTGACATCTGTGCGGAGAAGCAAACGCACACGCCAAAGTACCAGCACAGGTGGCACACATAAGTGGGACGAGGGGTGTTTGGCCCTTTATTATTTTCTAGAATACTCTCATTCATTTCTATAGAATGTAACACACACACACACACACACACACACACACACACACACACACACACAATCTCTAACCCGGAAACATCCAATCATACATTTCTTATCAAGATGACAAACCACGGGAAGTTGGGAGTACTTCAGTACTTCTAATGGAGAACTATTTATCACAACATGAGTCGACAACCAGCGTGTGTGGGAAGACAACCTAAGTGTTATTTGAGGAAGGAGGCGTAATAGCCAAGTGGGAGCAATTTTTTTTTTTTTTTGAGAGAGACAGAGACAGAGAGCACATGGGGGAGGGGCAGAGAGAGTCCCAAGCAGGCTCCATGCTCAGCACAGAGCTGGACTCTGGGCTCGATCCCACGACCTTGGAATTGTGACCTGAGCCAAAACCAAGAGTTGGATGCTCAACCGACTGAGCTACCCAAGTGCCCCAAGTGAGAGCAGCTTTTTAAGAGGTAACTTTATTAATGAGAACGTCTGGATCTTTCTCAATCCTTCCGAGTCAGTATGAGAATAGACACTCTGTATTTAAAGGGTTAACCAAAAGTGGGACTAGAATCAGAACCAGTTCCGAGCTGATTTTAGATGAAATTTCAAGAGCTCTGAGGATCCACTACTGTTCTTAGTAACCAGGAGAAAAGAATAGCATACGCACAACTTTGAAGTTTCCTTTGAAATCCTGCCGATGGGGAAGTTTTGCTGGGCACGCGGTGACACAGAGCAAGTGGCACACACCCCAGTGGGTCCCTAGTTAAGGTGCAGTAAGTTACTTCTATAGTCAATGTCACAAAGTCACTGAGGACCCACTCTGATGATTATAGTGCTCCGAATTCTGTCAGGCTTTCTGTAAGATTTGTCCTTGGGAAGCTAACTTAGGTCATTAAACATATTACTCAGGAGATCAAATAACATCACCACAAACCTACCTGCATTATGAAGCCCAGGCACCCCGTTTCTGCAGCTGCTTACAAGCTGTCCACTACAACTGCAAGTAACAACCCATCACACATTTCTGTACAAATGTGGCCTAGAGTTTGCAGTCTGTGAAAACAAACTTTTCCAGCAGTTCTCCTATACAGAACTGAGATTCTTTAAAATGAAAGTTTCCCTCTGGTTTAGGAAGTTGGCATGTCTTGTGTTCTCACTTTTGGGGCCTATTTGTGCTATTTTCAAAGTAACCTTCCAAGAATTACACACTTGGGGTCTGACACCAATCAAATGTCCCCATTTGCTGTACTAATATGTCTAAGGGCCCACTGATACCACCGACCACTCTTAGACATGTTTTCCCAGGGGCCATGAGGCATAGCGCTCTCCTCTCTGCTGCCAAGACCCTTTCCTAGAGGCGGGAAGCCCCTGAAAATGGGGACACATAGCAGGAGGGCATTGCCAAGTGGCCTGACTTGATGGAAAGTGATGTTTTGTTCGGCAACTCTGGGCACAGTCTTACTTTCTGTCCCTTGTATCACAGAGCTCCAGAATCAACTCACACACACCTGCTGTTGTCTGAATTACAGCCTTTCTTGGGAGATAATGTGTTAATTCCAGTCAAAAGCCTCCAGGCAGCATGAAACAGGAAGAAATAAAAATAATGGAAAATGTACCTCCATGAAATTAACATTAGAAGAACCTCAGGGGCAAAACTGGGATCAAATATGGGATCATACAACAGCCAACAGCCTAAGATCTAATGAGCCTGCACATTACGAACCTCATAAATGATAATTATCCACTAGGAAGCAAGCATCTCACTTCTTTGAGAAGTGATGGGGCACAGTTTTCTGTTAACAGCAAATGTTATTCAACTTGTTCATGAATCAGGCTTAATAATACAACTTAACTAATTTCCCTGCATGATTTTTATTGCAGCTCAAATTTACACAGTCGCTGTTCCTCACCAAGGACTTTTACGTTTTCAGTGCCAGGTTCCAAACACGGTCAGTGACGTTTGAGCCACACATCTTAGGGAATCACAATGCAGGTAAAACCTTATGATGATATTCCTTTTAATGATGGCAATTTATCATTTCCATATTGTTCCCAGGGTTTTATTTTACAAATACTATCGTAGGGAGATTCAAATGCAGAAAATTAAATACAAAGCATCCATGAGTAGTTTTCTCAAGAATACACATCAGGACAAGTGATCTGCTTCCTCTGAACCATTCACACATGAAAGCGCTGGGTCCCTGTGCGGAATTCAAAGCTAGAGAATGCCAAGCACACTTATGAAAATTAAGTACAGCTCACCGTTCTCCTCATTCCCACAAGTAGGATGGAAGTCAACAATAATGACATCTTGATAACAGAGGACAGACAGGAAGCCCGACTCATGAATTTTTTATATGCCCTTTCCTTGCTCAGTCCAGCAGATGCTGATGAACGGTTTCATCTACTAGCCAGCACTGACATCTTGGCGGTAGCCACAAATACTTCCGAAACAGACCTACGTGATAGCAGGTTGCTTATACTGAAGACGTTTAACCTCTGAGAATTTCTGGAACCTGAAAAATTCTAGTTTAGATCTGAACTTCAAAGAGAACAAGATGGCTAAAGAGACACATGGGGGTAAAAAAAAAAAAAAAGTTTAAAAAAAGGAGGGGGGGCTCAGTTAGCTATCACAACTCCGGAACTTGGAGCAAGGCAGACGCGGGGCGTGACGACACACAGCGCCCTGCGGGCTACTGTCTCGTGCTCTTCAGTTATCCTGATGACGGGCGGTCTTCTTCTTTAAACAGTTTCACTTAGGTATAAAGCACGTACCATAAATCCACTCAGTTGAAGCATGGAATTGAAAGGATTTTACTAAACTTGCAGCGTTGTAGAATTATCACCACAACGCAGTTCGAGAACACTTCCATCACACACATGTATGGCTTGGGTCCACCCGGCTCGATCGTCCTTTTACCCCAGCCCCAGTTGACCACTGTCCCACTTTCTGCCTCCATAGACTTGTCTTCTCCACACATTTCGTGTAAATGGCGTCCTATGATACAATCGTGTGATACGTGGTATTGGAGCCTGGCTTCTTAGTGTGACGTTTTGACGTTTATTCACACTGTAGCTGTATTCCATCACGGGATACGACCAACACTGTCCATCCAGCAGCTAGGACGTGTGCACTGCCTGCTTCTTTTCCTCTTTTTTATGAAGGCCGCTACGGACATCAAGTCTTTGTGTGTTTTTCCTTCTCTTTGGTAGACGCCTAGGAGTGGAATTGCTGGGTCATGTAGCGAATTTATGCTTAATTTTTAAGAGCATGCCAAACTTAAAAATTTTACCATTTTACATTCCCATCAACAACATATGAGAATTCCAGTTTCTGAACACCCTTGGTTACTGTTGCTCTGTAGCACAGTTCTGAAACTGGAAAACAGAAGCTTTCCAACCTTGTTATTTTCTGGGGTTTGTGGCTGTATCTGCTCCAGTGGGTATGAAGTGTCAGCTCACTGGTTTTAATTTGTATTTTCCTAATGAATGTGAAACATCTTTTCATGCGTTTATCGTGATTTGTGTATTTGTGGTGAAATATCTATTCAAACCTGTTGCCCGTTTTTAAATTCATGTTGCATGTTTTCTTCTGGAGTTTTAAGAGTTCGTTTTGTATCTGTTTGGAAGGACTGCATCAGGTTATGATTTGCAAATACTTTCCCCCAGTGTGTGGTTTGTCTTTCCAACTTTCTATCAAGTGCCATTTGATGTGCCCAAGTTTTTAATTTTACCGAAGCCACATTTACCAATATTTCTTTTATGTATTGCCCCATATCTAAGAACTCTAACTTGAGATTAAGATTTACTGATTTGTCTTCTTCCAAAAGTTTTAGTTTTTACATTAAAGACTGCAACCTATTTTGAATTTATTTATATGATGCAAAATAAGGTTTAAATTAATCTTTTTACAGGTGAACGCCCAATATTCCCAAACATGGTTTGTTGAAAATACTACCCTTTAATCACTGAACTGTCTTTGCTGAAAAATGAAGTGACCATATGCAACAGGGCTATTTCTGGACTCTCTATTGTGTTTCATTGACTATTTTTTCTGTATCTACCTTCCTACCTACCTTTCTGCCAGTATAACACTGTCCTGGCTACTATAGTAAGGGTTGAACACGGGAAGTCTGAGTTTTCCAACTTTGTTATCCTATTCCAAAATTGTTTTAGATATTGTGGGATCTTCCTTTATATTTTAGGATAATATCAATTTCTGCAAAACAAAAAATATGCTGAGATTTTTGACAGGAATTTCATCAAATCTCTAAACCTATTTGCAAAGAATTTCCATTTTAACAATATTAAAACTTTTAATCCATGAATATCAACTATCTGAATGCTTTTAAAGACACATTTGATCTCAAAAATATTTTGAAACATGGGGCGCCTGGGTGGCGCAGTCGGTTAAGCGTCCGACTTCAGCCAGGTCACGATCTCGCGGTCCGTGAGTTCGAGCCCCGCGTCAGGCTCTGGGCTGATGGCTCGGAGCCTGGAGCCTGTTTCCGATTCTGTGTCTCCCTCTCTCTCTGCCCCTCCCCCGTTCATGCTCTGTCTCTCTCTGTCCCAAAAATAAATAAACGTTTGAAAAAAAAAAATATTTTGAAACAAGGGCGCCTGGATGGCTCAGTCAGTTAAGCATCTTACTCTTGGTTTCAGCTTGGGTCATGATCTCATGGTTCATGAGTTTAAGCCCTGCATCGGGCTCCACGCTGACAGTATAGAGCTTGGGATTTCTCTCTCTCTCTCTCTGACCTTCCCCTGCTTGCATGCACTCTCTCTTTCAAAATAAATAAATACATGAATATTTTGAAACAACTCTGTTATATCTCAAGTCTCAGATACACAATCCTCTATTTTGTGACTGAAGGGAACTTTAGAATGAAGACATAAAAAATTGTTTCATTCAACTTCTTAAAAATGTTCAAACAATCCAAAGTTACAGAAAAGTTTTGAATAGAAATACTTTTTCCCCTCTTGAATCATCTGAGGGTGAGTCACTGACCTGATGCCCCATCAACCCCAAATACTTCAGCAGGTATTTCCAATAAACAAGTTTATTTTCCTCCACAAAGCCGATTCAGGCATCAAAATCAGGGATCAGATACGTTTCTTCCACCCAAGTCTGGGACCCTCAGTCAAGTTTTGCCAGTTGTCCTGATGGTGTCTTTTACAGCGAAAGGAGCCCGTTGGGAGACAAGGCCACAGATGCCATCGGCCTGCCTGGGGGGGGAGTGGGGTCCTCAGGCCTCTGTGACACCGGTGTCCACATGCCGCTTTCCGTCCCTCCTTAGTCTGTGTCTGATGCTCCCTGGCTTGGAGTCAGTGAAGTATCTTTGCCAGGAAGACCCCGGATGGAATGCTGTCTTCCCTGCTGCAACCCTCTGGGTGACACACCCCTGCCCCAAGTCTCCACCGTGAAGGTTCTTCCTTCCCGTCATAATTAACTACTATTTTCTAGACGTCTGCCGTAGCAATGGAGCTTTTAATCTGTTCATCTGTTTGTCTGAATAGTGAAATAATTTCCCATTTTATTCAAAGCGTTATCATCTATCATAATCTTTACCTTGATGCTGAAATTCCCCCAATTTGGCCAATGGGAGCCCCTCTGAAGGACATGTCACCGCCCTACTGTGAGCACTTTCTTGCACAAAATGACATCCAGGTTCATCTTGTTCATTTCCTGAAGGAACGCGAGCCCATCTGAGAGGAAACCGTGTGTGCAGGATTTATGGGTGTTGGGCATCCTCATCACCACTGGGGGTGGGGTGGGGGGGATGCTCCCAGGTCTGGTCTTTAAGCAACTCTGATGGGATCTGTTTCTATAGAGGACCTAAGAAGGGAGAAGTCTGTAGCTATGGTATACCGGATTCTAGTGTTGCAGGGGCAATCGACAGAATATTGTGATTCTGTGACTGCTGAGTGAATTTGCAGGAGGTGTGTTCATTAGGTAAAGGTTCCTTATAACTCCTTTTAAGAGCCCCCACCATGCCCTCACTGCTACTAGTGAGCATCCCGTGTTGGTGCATGGGCGTTGGCGAAGCACTCCATTGCTGGCTTCAGCTTTACCGGCACCTTGCCAAGTGACACACAGACAGACACATGGACAGTCTCCTATAAAGTAGGTAGGTCAGGGCGGCTTCCTTCCTAGTTGGCCAAGCATGTCTACAGTCGCTGGCACTACTGTTGGAATACCACATCCTAAACTATTTCCCGAGAGGAAAAGTTACCCACAAGGCTACTGCATTTTACAGTGAGGCAGAAATCATTAAGTATTTTAACTCAATTCCATCTGCTCTCTCAAAAAGTTTAATTGGTCTAACTGAAATGTGTTTTTCAAAAATATACGATTGGGTTTTAATCCAACTTCATATTATTAAATATTATGAATGCATTAGAATAGCTGAGGGGCACATTTAAAGACATTAGAGAACGTCGGCCAGAAAAAAGGAAATCCTAACCACTTTCATACTGCAGCATCTCCGTTTTATACCTATGTTAGCGCATGCTTACAAAAAAACTGTACGCGTACTTGAAGGTTTATGGTGAAAGCATGCTGTCTGGTGATTGCATTAAAAATCGGAAGGGGACGTGAAACAAAGTGGGCCAAATGTTGGTCCACGGGGAGCTGGATGGGGGGCACTTCATGTACTTAAAGATGTTCAAAGTGCTAACGATAAAACCATAGTACGCTACACCAGAAATCAAACTGGAAGACGGTATACCAAAATGCTAATAGTGCCTGTTAACTGGTATCACTGGGCAGCATGATTACTGAGGTCTTTATGTTATTGCATATTTTCTACAGTTTCTTCAGGGAACACATATGCAGTCAGACAAAATGCCAATGAACTTCCCCAAGTTCATCCTCGCCACAAGCACCTGCTGACCCTTCTCTGGGTTGGACGCTGGGTGGCTGCTGGCTGGGGGGGGGGGGGGGCGGGGACCGGGGGGGGGGGGGGGGGGGAGTGCTCATGGAGGTTGCTCCCGGCCTTCCTGCAGCTGACGTTCGTCCCCCGCCCGCGTCAGGGACAAGCCTGAAGGAAGAGAGAGCCTGAGCTCTCACCGGCCGATGTGACACAAACTCCAGGCCGAGGATAACTGCTGGGAGCCTCGGGCTGGAGTCCTGCGCTTGGAAAACAGGGGGCCCCACCAGAGAGCCTCCCAGAATGTGCCCAGAGTCTGTCATCTCTGCAGGTGTCAGCAAAGTTCACGGAGACCACGGTCTCCAGACGCTGCGGGATGTGGAATCCAAGGGGGGTTGGCGCAGGGACCCATGCGGGCCCCCTGCAGCCAGCCCCTCTGCAAGTGGAAGTCCTCCCCAGACGTTAGCGTCTACTCTGCCAACGGTCTCAAGGGGGGGGGGGGGCACGCGACTGATTTCCTCGTCCTTGTAAAGACGCTGAGGACGACACTCACCTGCAGAGGCACCACAGGACAAACCCAAGTCCGCAGTACGGGTCCAAGCAGATGGCCACTTCTCTCGAGGGGTAGAGCTCACACTGCAGCTTGATGGAGCGGCAGAAGGCACTGGTGGCTGCGTGGCACATCTGGAAGACAGCAAGGCCGCCTTCAGTCCACGTGGCCGACACCCAGTGCCCCAGCTGGAGCGACCCCCTCCCGCACCCCAACAGGAAGCGGGCACGCACAGGCTTCTCCGGCGATCCCACAGCCCCGGGAAGAAGGTGGGGAGACACCAGACGCTGCGGCTCACGGCCCCTCCCAGGGGTGTGCCCGACACACGCCTGTCATGCGGTAGGGCCGGCAGGGTGCGTGGATGAACATCCCATGTCAGTGACAGGAACCAGGCTCAGAGAAGGTAGTGTGCTGAAGGTCACACAGCTTCGGGCCAGAACCAGCGTTAGTCACAGGACAACAGCCAAGCTCCCGTCTCCCCGCATCGCTGAGGTGACAGTAAGAGGGCTCCCACGTGATGGAAATTATTGCCAAATAGCATAAAATATGTCTCATAAAATCAGTTTTCTCACAGAAGCTTTCTAGCCAATCAAGCCTAAGAGGAAAAGGAAAATTTTCCCAAGTTTGTGGTTTGAAAAACATCTGGAGTTAACGTGAAGTGAACGTCCCATGCAGTTGAACCGTGTGGGGGGCTGGAGCAAGCACCCTAATACTCAGGGCCACCCACCCAAATGCCTGGGGGAAGCGCCCGTGAGTCGCGCCGGCAACAGAGGCGAGAAGCCAGGGCCAGGGCCACTTCTGTGGTAAGCGCGGGAGCCCTGCTAGAAGCTGTGGGTGGAGGGAGGTTTCGCGATGGATCTGCCGCACAATCCACACGAGGTAATGCAGAATTACTCGAGAAGTGAGCACATACAGCTCATTTTCCCTTGCTGTTAAGGCCACGATATTTGCTCAAAGAAGAAACAAGGCTGGGTTTCTGAAACGTGCCTTCAACCTCCGCCCGCCCACCAGATCGGGAGTCAGCAGAATCCTAGCTACCGAAATTAGCCACATTCCCAGATTCGCCACTAAAACAAACCTTGCCTGAACCCCTACTCTGTGCAGGCGTTATTTATAGCTTGAGAACAGCTCAGCTCAGCAAATACTAATACGTTAATGGAGTACATGCTATGTCTCAGGCATTGTATTAGGTGCTCAGAATACAAAGAAGAATGAAACACAGCCACTGTCTGACCTCAGGAGTTTGGGTCCAGTGGAAAATTGAGAGAGAACTCCGGTAACTGCAGGGCCTGTGAGCGCGCTCGCAATGGGTGCAGAGAGCATAAGGAGGGCAGAGAAGGGGCTCGCTCTCATGTCACCCTGGGGGACCCCAGTGAGCTCTGGGTCTTGGGGCTGAGTAAGCACCGGCAGAACTCATCAGAGAGA